TCAGAGCATATGGAATGAGGACCTGAGGATCAACAGCGTGCCTAATTCTTGGAGGCCTAAAATACTGGATTTCCCTCTCTCCAGGGTCATAAATAGGGAAAAGGGCTTGTCCCAAAGTCTTAACCCTTTAAAGAACAATTGTAACTATATCTAAAATATGCTTTAATGTTAAAAAAACTGTGTACTTTGCCCACAGAGCATATTCATGTGTATCGTGTAATTTTCACAGTAGACAGCGATTTCCCTGAACAGCATTAACCAGCTGGCCCTTGTAACAGAGATGCAGTGTACTTTTTGTGATGCATATACTGAATTTTTAACTAAAATTCATGTAAATTTCATGCTTGTTACAAAGGAAGTCCCTTCACAGGAAAGCAGAAATCAGGAGAGCAACTGAGATCAAAGTCCCAGAGTTGGACAACTCTCCTAAAGAGAGGAGGTGTCCTGAATGACCACACAAAATATAGCCACATTCAAACTCTGAAAATAACAAGCCCATGGCCTGAAGAAGACAAAGAAGAAAATATTTAATTAGTGCAAATGTTGGGAAATCCAGAAGGAAAGAGGCCACTGGGAAGACCAATAAGTAGGTAGATGGACAATATGAAAACGGATCTTAGAGAGATACGATGGGATAGTATGGATTGGATTAATCTGGCTCAGGATATGGACCAGTGGAAGGCTCTTGTGAACATGGTAATGAACCTTTGGGTTCTATAAAATTCTGAGAAATTCTTGAGTAGCTGCAGAATTGGCGGCTCCTACAGAAGGGCTCAGCCCCATTAGTATGTAAGTAAGCATTTCTTTTTATTGCTAGTGGGGTGGGACTAAGTCCCTTGTACTGCAGCCACTTCTGGCCTATTGTACCAGCCCCAGATGATAGGTGAGGGTGATTGTGGAGTAATTGGTGGAATGAAGATTGGCAGGGGAAACCGAAGTACTCAGAGAAAATCTGCCCCAGCGCCACTTTGTCCACCACAAATCCCACTTGACCAGACCCGGGATCGAACCCGGGCCGCCGCAGTGAGAAGCCAGCGACTAACCGCTTGAGCTATGGCGTGGCATAAGTAAATAAGTAAGTAAGTAAGTAAGTGATAATGTCCGTCAACTGCTCAGAATTTTCTTCAAATTAGTTATACAGAGACCGCTTATACCTTACGACAAACTCATGAGTATATATAGTACAGCACATTCTTGTTGACGAATGTTCTATTATTTACTGTTATGATCATTTTGTTGAATAAATGGCCTCCAAGCAATGGAACCACAACAAATTAGATCCATTTTACACTATAAAAATTGGCTATGACCTAGCAAAGATACAGATATAAAAGGTAGAAAAATATGAGAAAATAATTTTATACATGAGATGAAAAACCTGTTTGCTATTTATAAACATAGAGATTAAAATATATACAACTATAGCTTTAGTTCTTGAATTTTACGAATGTAAAACTTGGTCTCTTAACATTAAGAGAAGAATATATAGTGTGAGTGAGTCATGGAATTCTACAATCTGAAGGCTCAACAAAACAAAACAAAAATTACAAATCTGTTTCCTACGTTCCAATTCGAAGAGGAATTCCCCCACCCCACCTCAATGAACTCATTCATGCACAACATGATCTTAAAAAATAAATAAAACGTGCTGTAGCTCTGAAATCTCCCACGGGAACTCGTGAACAAGGTGTAGCCAGTCAGTCACTTGGGCTGTATGAGGACAATTCATCTGAGTGGGTGGCGCAAGGAAGGGGAAGGGGTCAGACAATCTTCACAGAAACATTTCATAACCTTCAAAATCAATAATCACCAGGGCTACACAAAACATCATAACTAAAACGACTTATTTTAGATGAAGCACACATTTCCTTTTTTAAGAATTACTGATGGAAGAAAGTAATTTAACTAATCCCAAGAATCAGTCCTTCTCAGGGAGCTACTCACGAAATTCTTCATTTTCATGAAGCACAAAGGTTCATTTCCATTTTCAAAACAGTCCACACCCTCCTACCCTTCTTTAAATTTCATTTTAATATTATCCTCCTATCTACACACAAGTCTTCCAAGATGTCTCTTTACTTCAAACACTCTGACAAAAATACTGTCATTTCTAATTTCTCTCATGCATGCTACATGCCCAACCCATTCATCCTAATTGATATGATTATCGAATTCACATCTAGCGATACAAATTATGAAACTCTTCATTACATAATTTTCTCTAGGCTCATAAGAATAATAATTAAATTTGCTTAACCTATTTTTGGCGCAGACCATACACGTGTGAGCAAATGGATGGATGTGAAGTTTGCCACTCGTCTTTATGGCGCCCTCACAACTTTGTCCTTCTTGACTCTCCTTAGTTGGCACTAACTTCACTGACAAGTGGCAGACACTCAGTTGGTATAGTTTGCTTGCGGACTACAGGCCATGGAGTTTTTTTTTTTTGNTAAATTTGCTTAACCTATTTTTGGTGCAGACCATACACGTGTGGGCAAATGGATGGATGTGAAGTTTGCCACTCGTCTTCATGGCACCCTCAGAACTTTGTCCTTCTTGACTCTCCTTAGTTGGCACTAACTTCGCTGACAAGAGGCAGACACTCAGTTGGTATAGTTTGCTTGCGGACTACAGACCACGGAGTTTTTCTTTTTTGGTCTCTCCTTCTGTCTCCATCTCTTATATTCAGCTTCTGTAGCTCATTCTCTACATGCTACAATTATCTCAGTCTTGTCCTTACCACTTTTCTCCTGCCTTCTGACTTACTTTAAAAAATCTTCTTCGCCAAAATTGTGTGATCCTTTCTGACCACATGCCCCAGTCATTCCAACCACTACCAGACCAGCACTTGTATAATTTTGTTCACACCTAATTCCACTTTGTGTAGGGGACAAACATAATTGAGGAGCTACTTCAAGGAAATAGCGGCTCCCGTCTAGAAAACCGAAATTAATGGACGTGGGGATTTGTTGCACTGACTATGCGACACCCTCTATCCGCAAAAGTTGGCACTGAACTTCAGTGACAAGCGGTGGTCACTCGGCCGGTATAGTTCGCTTGCAATCTAAAATCACAGACTTTGTTTGTTTGTTTGTTTGTTTGTTTGTTTGTTTGTTTGTTTGTTTTTTGTAGGGGACAAACTGACAGAAAGTATGATTTGTGGTTCTTGCACCAGTGGTTATTACGAGTTCTGTCTTCTAAGATATAAGGCTGCGTAGTCTGTTGAAAGCCAACCTTCAACAGACTATAGTGGAGTTGTATTTCAGAAGATAATACTTTTCAAAGAGACAGAAAATTTTCTGGTCTCTATTTCATCAATGTAAAATGGTTGCAAACATTACAGCTCATGGCTATCAGGAATCTCAGATATTGGAACAGACTGTACAGTGACTTCATGGTTGGGTGAAGCAGTGGACAGCGGACAGGGGTGGGTGGATACTTGTGCCATGGTGAGTGACTGCATGATGGGGAGAGGGGGAGAGGAAGAGAATCAGTTCTCAAGACTTGGCAATGGGGAGGGGGGATAGTTACGCAGTTGCACACACACAGACATACACAACTTATTTGGAAGTACTGTCATTTTCTCATTATCTGAAATGAAATCTGGCATCTTCAATGCACCTTTTAAAAATCATCTATACACCTTCTTATAGGAAAATATACATATCTTAAAGAACGGGAAGTTACAAGTTAAAATTAACTATGCAATTACATTTTTCTTAGAAGTTAGTAATATAATTTTCCCACAGTTGTTTCCTTTTCTTTGTGCAAGTTAACCCCCTGATATAGAAACAAGGAAAAAGGAAATTTCATGCTATTTTAATCCTGAATCATACAGACCAAGAGGCACTTAGGTAAATTCATGTTTAAAAGGACACAAAACCCTGGAAGTACAACAGAAAAACCTGAATGGAAGACAATAATACAGGTTCCTAAAGAAAATCATCAATGGAAGAAAAGAACATTACAAACTATTTCCTTACAAAAACCATGAATGAAATTCTTTAGATGTCCTTCACCCTGAAGATATCTTTTATGAATGGTAAATGTGCCAGATATTTACCATAACACAACAGTTCAGGTTCTCACGGTCGGAATATTAACAGTACAGCTATCAATTCCTTGAAGTAGCCTGCTGCTTTCATCTTCCATACTGAATTTTACCTTATTCAGTACATCCCTTGATACGTAAAAAAATCGTTACCAGTGCCGAAATTATAGATAACAATTTTTTTGACCCAAGAAGATATCCATGTAAAAGTGTAGGAAGTGTCATTATTTTCTAAAATGCCAACTTTCTCTCTGTATTTATTTATTTTAATACTCCATTTATTGCCTACTGAGTTCCACGACAATATACAGCATTTCACCGTTTACGTAACGAGCTCATATTATATCGTATACAAGGGACAGGCTTACATCTTCAATCTGCCACTATTTCAAGATTCAGCCCTCAAAACAAGTACACTGCCTGTCCTAATGGTACTCTGTTTACATGACACTCAGCTTCATAAGGTCAATCAAATTTCAAGCAAGGTAGCTAAAATATTAAACTGTTGTGTAATTAAATTTATGAATAAATGAAATATTCTGCAGTGGACTGGATATCTTTCATTAAAATCGATGACTCAGCTCAGTCAGTACAGTGACAGGCTATGTGTTGGATGGCTGAGGAATCAGTGTTTGATTCCAAACACAACGCAAGAGATTTTTCTCCATGCCAGCTCTGCAGCCCACCTTCCCTCCTATCCAATGGGCACTGTGAGCCCTTTCTTGGTGGGGGGGGGGATAAATGACTGGGATGTGAAGCTGACCACTCACCTCCATCAGTAAGTACCAAGGTCAAGAACACTGGAGCTATTCCTCCATGCCATCACATCTTCATGGCACAGTGGTTAATTACTTAAGCACAGGGATAATTTTACCTTTTCTCTGTGATTTATATCTCCATATGTTGTTAATGAAATATCTACATTACTAATATTCAGCTACAAACTGACCTCCAGTAAGTCAATCATGCGAGTCATCTGGGAGTATATAAGGACTCGGTGACCCTGTTCCTTTAACCTCTTCAGCAGTCCATCCAGCACATACAGCTTGCCCGCATCTGTGACAAGTGTCTGCTTGTCTGTAAACGAAGAAACAAAGCTGTTAATCACAAAGCTCACACCAACCAATCTACACATCTAATCCACAATCTGAAACAACATACCATCTCAGGGACTCACAATTACATTTTCCTCAGTCCATCCAGTCAAATATCACAACAATTATGTAAGTACACACTATTCTTAAAAGCCAGGATAGCTCAGTCAGTATAGCAACTGGCTATAGGTGGAATGACTAAGGGTCTGAGTCCTGGTGGGGGCAATAATTTTCACTTCTCCATGTCATCCAGATCGGGTCTGGGCCCAACCCGGCTCCCATCCAATGGGTACCACAGGCTCTTTCCCCAGGGGGTAAAGTGGCCAGGGCATGAAGCTGACCACTCATCTATAACTAGTGCCAAAGCCAAGAAAACATGGTTGTATACATCCATTCCACCATACATCTTCATGGCATATTGCTTAATTAATTGGGCACAGGGACAGCTTTACCTTTACCTCACACACTATTCTTAAAACATTACACAAACTTAAGATTATAGTCTTCTGGGATACAATGCTGTATACCAATATTTTGGAGGAACCTGTTGCTTCCTCTCTACCGGTATCTTTCTACAACATTACATGGCCTCATATCCCAGAAGATAATAATCTTAATATTCACTGCTACGAGAACCTCAAATCTCATACTGATTCTGTAAGGGCAGAATATTCTACACTTTCATCTTCTGACCTGAAGCTGGAAGCAGAAAGTATCTATTTACCAGATTGAATGGTATCATATTCCACAAGACACCATCACCTTAATAGTCACTACAATGGAAACCTCAAATCTTATTAAACAGCCCATGCAAACAGCAGTGTAATTAAATTAACGCCTCTTCTTCAAAGGTGTACATTATCTGTAGCTTACTTGATAGCATTCTCAGTAACTACAGAGTGACAAATGATACAATATTTATCAAATAAAGGATGGGAAATGTTGTGAAAGAAACTGGTCATGCCCTAATTTAAGGTAGCATCCCAGAATTTTCTTGGAGCGACTGAAGAAACCCATGAAAGACTTAGTATACATAGCTAGTGCTCCAGGAAAGATTTGAACAGAGTGCCTTATAAATATGAGCTCACAGTGTTGCTGTTACAGTAACCTCAGGATGCCTGCTGAATGCTGGGTGTGAGTACCCTGCTCTGCTCAATTATTCATAACAACAAATGTGTCCTTTAGCTTTTCTTTTGGAGAATCTGTACGTGCACCTAAGTTTAATTTCATTTAGAATTTTGCAAGTTTAAGGCCTTCAGTTTCCACTTGTTTAACGTGAAATAAACGGAGAACATAAAACTCTCCCCTTCGCTGTCAAAAGTCTTAACAAAATGTCTGAGAGAGGATGTAAACTTCCTCTACCTCTACATCAAATTTTAATTATGAACAATGGAGAAAAAAGTTAAACTTCAGTTGGGGTGGAGAAAATGGGCGGCAGACAAGGAATCAATATCTCAGCTACATTATGAGTTTATGGTCTTTCACAGGATCAAATTTTCTTTCTATTTCAGGACTGGCATTAGTGGAAGCCCCTTAGTCATGTAGTTTGAAATTAGCCTATTGTACCAGCCCCTGTACAAGCCAGGTGTATGCCCCCTTCTCTGAGATTTTTGGAGAAGAATAAAAATCATGGAGAAAAATGGGCAGGGGGAAACATATTAAATACCAAAACTTTCTTTTTACAAAATTACCTTTTATCCTAAATACTCTATGGTGATCAGTAAAAATGAGTCCCATTAAAGTTATTGCATCTTTAAGTAACTGTTCCACATATGCAACGCAGTGACAGTGCATATAAATTGGCTTCACTTCAGTCAGCCCTGCCTCCACACTTCGGTTGACACAGCTATCCTGTGCATCTTCAGACAGAGAGAAGAGAATGTGAAGAGTGAATTCTGCCTTGCAAGGGGATGAGATGATGAAGTCTCCTCTGATCCAAAGGAAGATGAATCTTAATTAAATTCTATCAGTTTCTTTATTATTCCCTTTGTTTTGTCTCGTCTTGTCTCCATCTCCTTCTCTCTCTTCTTCACTGGGATAAGTGAAGACTTGGAGAATCCTGTCAGAATAAACAGGGGTGCAGTGGAACCAGATCAGCGGAAGTATCGCATTTCCCAGTGTACACAAAACACTTGTGTATACAGCATGTACCAGTTTAAAATGAAGGAATTAAGAAACATATTATTAAAGGTTTATTATTTATTTAATAATAACAACAGATTTTTTATTTATGGATGGAAGTAAACAATTCTGCCTTGCATAATGGAAAAAAGGGGAAAATATGATAAAGAGTATCTGCCCTTTGCTCATTTTCATCACCATTTCCCAACTTAACGGCATACTGTGATCTTTAGGGCCATATCCAGGGGGCCATATGTCTTATTCACTAGCAGATGTGATAATTGTTAAAAATCAAGTATTGTCTACGAGGGAGCTGGTCACAGTGACCGCACGGTCTAAGGCATGAATGGTCTTCGCTCTCTCGAACGCTGGGATTGTTGGTTCGAATTCCACTCAAGGCATGGATGTCTGTTTGGGTTTGTTGTCCTGTGTGCGGGCAGTAGCCTTGCAACGGACTGATCCCCCATCCAAGCAGTCCTGACTGTGTAAAGGATTAATAAACTGAAAAAGCTGCCAAAGTCCAACAAATAGACTGTATAGCCATATACTGATACTCGCATATTGTGTCTATGAGGGAAGACTTTTCTCTAACATTTCCCGCATTAAAAAAATTTCACTCAACATCTTTGGTGTTTGAAAATATAGTCCCTCATCATCTGCACTCTTACATTCAACTACTTGCTGCCGTCACTAATGAAAACTGAAAAGACTACCATCAATATAAAGAAACAAAAGAATGAATTTATTTTCGAAATTAAATTCAGTACAGAGAGGCTTGGTGCCATGCGGATTCTTGCTTAATTTACAATGCAACCCTGAAGATGAAGACACTATGTTCCTCTGAAACGTCAGTGAACATTTACTGTACTACACAGCATTACACAGCATGTGAAATGGACTTTAATATGTGTGAGCATCCCTGAAAACTGAACAGTCCAACAACTTACAGCAGCATAACTTTCAAATATAAGATTTTTACGAAATCTGTTCACAGTTTAGGGGCTGATACTGTGTACAGGCAGATGATCTCCACATGTAAGTAAAAGTAAAGGTATCCCTATAAGAGGCCATGGAGGGCCATAGGGTTCTGAGGCTCCCATACTTTCTAGACAGTCTGCTCACAGATGGTGGTGAGACTATCAGCCTTACACCCTAATCCACTGTCCTTAACTCTCAAGAAGATTCCTGGTACTCATTTCTGTTAGAGGATGAGTCAACCCCAGGGCCATAGTGTGGCTGGAAGGATTAGTTAAACTGAAAAACCAAGGACCTGACTGGCAATTGAACCCACAACCTTCCAGCTTGCAACATCTTGCCCCAAGGCACTCTTTTCCCCTTTGCAAAGCACATTTATAAACACACTGTGTTTAATTCTGACATACATCCATGTAAATAACAAACTAACTAACAACATGGAACTGAGCCCTTCTTGAGAAGCTGTAATAGCTCAGTTATTCAAGAATTTCCCAACAGTTCATGGAACCAGAAGGTTCATTAACATGTTCACAACAGCCTTCCACTGGTCCCTATACAGAGCCAGATCAATCCAGTCCATACCGCCCCATCCTATTTCTCTGAGATCCATTTTAACATTATCCCCTCATCTACAGCTAGGTCTTCCTAGTGGCCTCTTTCCTTCTCGCTTTCCCACCAAAATCCTATATGCATTTATCATCTCCCCATGTGTGCTACATGCCCTGCTTATCTCATCCTCCTTGATTTGATCATTCTAATTACACTTGATAAAGAGTACAAGTTAACTTATTATGTGGTTTTCTAGCCATCACAATATTACAAGCATTTACCTAACTCATCATTTATACATATACATACTTCCATCCCAAATGTAACTTTATTTTTCATTTACTCCTCTTTGCTATATGTTTCAGCCATACCCGGCCATCATCAGGCATCTGTTTATCTTGCTAAAACCATTACACCGCATTTTACACTGCATTTAAAATGAATTAGTTCCAAATTAAAATATGCCAATGCCGTTCCATTTGTCATCATCCGTTCATAAAAGATATCTGCTTGAGTGCATTACTCGTCATGTTCTCTCACGCTGTTTTCCTTCTGTGGCATCGGTGTTTTCTGTGCTTTTCCTACGATGTCATTCTAATGTTATTATCATTATGCTCCATTCATTTGCATATTTCCACGGTTTTGGATTAGCTGAGTGTGTGTGTCACTTGCCTAACAAGTACTAAGAGCATGGCATGCATGGATCTAGACATCAATAAAGAAATCTTTGAATGTTCTGCACGCACATTAGTCTTGTGACAACACACCCCTGAGTCATTCTAGCCCCACTCCCCTCTCAATCAGTCTCCCTTAAGCTCTTTCAGTAGACTGCTCCCCTACCTTTAAGCCTTGCAATCTCCTTCTCTAGAATAAATTCGACTGGGGAGATGGGTTAATGTATAGGGAGAAACGTAGCACCTTCATGGTAACTGTGATGGCTTCCTTATGCTAATCAAACAAAAACCTTTCACACTCCTAAAAACAATCCAAGATACTTACATCTCCAGCATTAGAAGATACTACTTGAAAAGTCTGTTTCCTTTCAAGATAATTCTGCAAGACAACATTTAGGCTCAGAACCATCTATCGAAAAAATTAATTATCAGCCCATCCATCCGTATGTCTAACAAAATGGGGAATGGGCTAGCAGTAAGCCATAAAATAAATAAATGCAAAGAAAAATACAGAGTACCACATCCCAGAAGACTGTACTTGGAAATTATACATCATTCCAACATTCTCAATGTGCAGTACTCTTTAAGACTTCTACTTTTCAAGACTGGAAATATCAAGAGAAGGATAATGAGATGGGCAGGGTATGTAGGATGCATGGGGATAATTAGAATGCATATTGGATTTTGGTGATAAAGCCATAACAAAAGGGATCACTAGGAAGAACGAGACGTAAGAAGGATGATAATATTAAAATACATCATAGAGAAATAGTATAGTACCATATGGACTGCACTGATCTGGCTCTGGATAGGGAACATGGTAATAATGAACCTTCAGACCACATCCATAAAATGATGGGAAACTGTTAAGGAGCTGAGTGACTGGTGGCTTCGCAAGAAATGCTCAGCTCCATGGAGTTAGTTCATATTGTTTAAACTTCACTTCATGTATTTCTTCAGTATTTCACTTCCTCCATTGGCCCACTATGCCTTCCATAACCATATATAGGAAAATACAAAAATGTTTCCTTCCATTTTCTCTCACCATTTTATGCCTAGGACAATAGTTGTGGGTTTGCATATCAGGATGAAATCAGTATGGCGTGAAGTGGTCAGTTTTGTCACCCCCTCCTACACCACAGTCACACAATGTCTGCTCACTGGGGTATGCTCTATTCATCAAACACACAATTCATTCATGCTGACTAACAATGAGACAACAAATAATTACCCACATGGGGGGGGAAAGCATATAAAAATACTTATTACATAACTACCAGCAATAAAAAGCACAACATCCCTTACAATTTAATCAACATCACAATGATGCAGAACCTTCTCCCACAGAATTATCTGTTTCATAAAGGCTGAGACATACGTTGATGACCTATTACCAAAGCACACATATTTCATTCTGCTACCCTGTCACTCAAAATACTATGCACCTGCTCTTTTTTGAGGAGACATGTCAACAAAGAAACAATGCAACAGAAATACAGCTAAGCAACAGACCCAAACACATGAGTCCCTATAGTAATTACATAACTCTAAGTTTACCTTGGACATAGGACGATTTGCCCTCTCTACGTGGACGTCGGCGGGGGGGGGGATCCAGGAATCTAACAGCCCTGATTTTTGTAAACAAATCAAAATTGGAAGTGCAAAAGTAACACAAACAGAAATTATTTTGAAAAATGTGATCTTCCATCATAAGCACCCCAGGGTGCTACGTGAAATTAGTCTTAAATGGTTTCAACATAATTTTATCAGAAAATTTTCTATCTCTCCCAAAACAAAATTCCAGGGGGTTGGGGATTTTTATGGTTCTTAATGGTTCATTTCAATGACTAACTTTAATCGAACTGCCTAAATTTCTGGCTATGTAATTGCTCTTGTGAATTATCATTTATTTTCATGCTTTTTAATGTAAACATAATTACGCTGCAAGGGTTGTTGACCTTCCCTCAATATGAAATTGTTTGCGCCACAGCTCACGCAACCTGAACTGGAAAGACTACATTAAGTGCCATCTCTTGGTTATTAGGAAAATCATTTGGTAGTTACATTGCATGCCATCTCTTGGCATTCGGTAAAATCACTTGTAAGATATAACCGATAAGTCAGAGCTCTGCAATACCTCAGAGACATTTGTAACTTGGTTGCAGTAAATGAATGCCATGACTATCTCGCGGAACCGTGTCTTTTTTGAGAAGTTAATAATTATTCAGCTAGTCAGGAATGTATCTACATTTTACAAATCCCAAAGGTTCACTGCTGTGTCCACATGAGTCCAACACTGGCACCTACCCTCAGCCAGTCCACATACACTCACATTCTAGTTATATTTTAATATTATCGTCCCACCTAAACCTAGGTTTATCTACCTTCAGATTTTCCGGTCAAAACTTTGTCTCTTACACTTCTATTTAATGGTTTTGACTACCATAACAAAGAGAAACATTAAAATGAATATAATTAAATTAATTTATGGTAAATGTTTCATACCAGCCTTACACCACTTCACACAGTAAGATACTAAACGTATACATATTTTCCCTACATATATAAATGGGGAGTTGGAGCAGCTCAGTCAATATGGCAACACACTATAAGCTAGATGGTCGGGGTTTGAATGCCAGCAAGGGTAAGATTTTTCTCTTCTCCACAGTGTCCAGACCAGCTCTGAGGCCTACCCAGCCTCCACTGGGTACTGGGGACGATTTCACCAGCGGTTACGTGGCTGGGGAGTGAAGCTAACCACTCACCTCCATCTCGTGCCAAAGTCGAGAATGGTAGAGCTAACCTCCACTCCCCCATATATCACAATAGCACAGTGCTTAATTAAGCACAGGGACTTTACCTTACCTGACATATGTAAATGGAATTCAGAACTGTTTTATTTCTTGAATACAGTCAACTGCCTGTATTTATTGGGTGAGTGAGGGAAGCTTTATGTTACAGTAGTAACAAGGGCCACGCCATAGCTCAAGCAGTTAGTCCCTGGCTTCCCACCGTGCTGGCCCAAGTTCCATCCTGGAACTGGTCAAGTGGGATTTGTGGTGGACAAAGTGGCGCTGAGTCGGGTTTTCTCCGAGTACTTCGGTTTCCCCTGACAATTTTCATTCTACCAAATTCTCCATCATCATAGACATCCAAAGCACGCTACAATAGGACAATCAGTGGCCACCATGCCGAATGGACCCAGTTGGACCCCCCCCCCCCCCCTCCCTAAGCGAATTAAAAAAAAAAAGAAGAATTTTACAGTAGTAACAAAAATACACCACCCATATATTTACCTACAAATGCAATGGTTTGGTCAAATATCTGAACATAATTTAGAAGAATAAAATGCAATTGCAAAAACTTTCCAATTTTTATTCAAATTTAGCGTCATCCTAACTCATTTTCCTTTGCAGTCCTAACCAGTATTACTCTACTTTTCTCCACTGTAGTCCTTCACCAGATCAGCCTAGCTTTCCCATTTTCTGCTCTAGTTCTACAAGGGACTCAATCCATACAGATTTTGTAAATTATTTTTGAGTAGTTCAAAACAAAAGGGTGACATGATATTTTTCGAAACCAACTGGACCTGATAGAATCACATGCAGTAAAAAATTGGACCACATATGCTAACATCTATACAATTTAGTGATCCATTTCTATGTACGCTTTCCAGTACAGCCTAGCCGAGATGTAATGATCCTTGGACCCACCTGCATGTGACACACAAAGCCCCAGTTCAGGTGCAAGAAGCACTGCTCTCAGATCTTTACCTCAACTAAAATTTCTGAAGGGTACAAATGCAGTTGGCAACACAGTGGTACTAGAGAAGTACTCACAAATGAGATGCATGACTGGTGATGCATCTGGCCAACACATCACTATCAGTCAATGCTGTTTCAAGGTGGACACAGCAGAGCACTTGACCAATGAATCACTAAATTTTGGCCAGACCATATTACAGAATTTTCCACATGTAATGACTTAAGGTCAATTACGTTTTTTACAGTCTCATGTACAACACTATGTTCTATAAAATTGATTAAGAGTTATTCACTTTAAAAGTTTTAAAAGTCCATTACTAAAAGTTTCGACCAATGTGGACATCATCAGATGTTAAAATTATTTGACGAGTAAACTGCTGTCTTCTGTTGCTGCTTATGTTGTTAAACATATATAGGTCCATACATGTCTGTAACATGTGTAAACTTTCTATTAGAATTCATGGATGCGACAATTTACATGTTACATGTGCACATTGAGAGGACATATATTTAACAACATAAGCAAAAACAGAAGACAGCAGTTTCCTTGCCAAAAACAAATTTTAACTCCTGATGATGACCACACTGGTCAAAACATGTAGTGACAGACTTTTAAACTTTTAAAGTGAACAACTTCTAATAAATTTTATAGAACATAATGTTGCATGTGAGACCGTAACAAACTAATTGACACTAAGTGAAAAGTGCAACAGGATGCTACAATATAATTTTCTTTTTCCTTTGGCGCTACAGCCCCAATTTGGGCCTTGGCCTACCTCCATGAAACTCCCCATTTCACTTCGGTTTACTAGATCTTAAACAGATCTTCGGTAGGTCCTTGGGCAGGTGATCAGCTCGTCAAAAGGCCTCTACCTGTACACAAACACACACATGCATACGCACAACAAACATCCGTGCCCTAAGTGGGATTCGAACCCATGATCCCAGCTTCCAAGTGAGCAAAGACAGTGCATGCCTTAGACCACTTGGCTACCATGACTGGCACAATATAATATTACTCTGACTTAAAACTTATTTCATGAGCATAAGTTATATTGGTTTGACTAGACTTACCAGGTACAATGATATTTGACCAGCCAAATCTTGGAGCCGCTGCCGCAAGTCCCCCTATATGAATTGGATGAAAATACTGGGACCTGGACTCATGAAGAGCTGCAGCTTCTGAGGAACCATACCAGACAGTTTGCAGACCTTCTACGGAGGTACACTGCTGGTGACGTAGCATATACCACGCTGCGGCCCTGCTACTGCAGAACACTTCACAAGCTCTCGTCTGAACTTTAGGGCTTGTATAATACAGGAACGGTGGCAAATCTGTTGGCTGGCATTCAAGGATCCTTGAGGGACGAGGAATGTGGGGAAACTCACGCAAAATTGGAACCTTCCCTGGAAAATGGCCCTCATCTTCACCAGCATTTAGTCTTGGAGATTTCATATCTGACATCTTTGAATGGTTTGGGCTTCGTAAAGCCTGCAACAAATGTTATATACAATAAAATGAAGCTTTGATGTCATGAGTACCTACAAATGGGAACTTCAATTCATGCACCATTAATTTTACAACATTAATTACATGAAACTCTGCAGTAATAACAAGAGGGTTATACGTTCCAAACATAACATAATTATGCATCACTTTACTGGAGAAATACGTATGCCCCAAACAAGTTCTCTTCAAAACATTTTTACCTACAAAATTACAAATAATTTAATTTATTCCACTTGACAAACTTGAAGCTGGGGTCCAGGTAATGTCACATAAAAACTGACCCTAACAAGAACTGTTGCCCTAAAGTGACTGACATGCCAACAAATAAACATGCAAGGTGAGGGGAAAAATGTATAAAAATGAATACACAATGTAACAATTCTGGCATGTTTGCTCCACTGTTACATCTCAGTTTTCCATCTGCAAATGCTAACTTTTGATGTTTTCTTACAAATGACAGGATACAGTCAGGAAGACAGGCACGGACATAAAATATAAAATTGTCCTCCACCTGAAAATATGTGGTTCTCAGGCAAACCCCCTGGAGCTCCAGGATGGCTTCGACCTGCAAGACAGACTGCTCCAAAATGATGACACACTGGCAGAACAGTCTGTCTTGCAGGTCGAAGCCATTGTGGAGCTGCTGGAGCTTTGCCTCAGAACCACATATTTTCAGGAGGATGACAAATTCTTTCAACAGAAAGATGACATGGCTATGGGAAGCTCCCTATCACCCGTTGTTAGCAACATCTTCATGGACCATTCTGAGAAACTGGCTCTTCACTCGGCACAACATAAACCATCACTGCGGCTCCAATACATTGAAGACAACATTTGTGGTCTGGCCTCATGGTCCAGATCGGTTGTAGCATTTTCTCAGCCACCTCAACAGTTTAAGGCCAACCATCCAGGTCACCACGGAAACAGAGACAGACAGTGTGACTGCCTTTCTTGATGTTCTGGCCATCAGGGAAGAAATGCCACTAGCCACCAAAGTCTCCAGGAAACCCACCCATACTGACTGATATCTCAACTTCAACTCTAACCATCTGCAGTATGTGAAAAGAGGTTTAATTCATAGTCTTCACAACAGAACTATCACCACATGCCAAGAATGACAGAATCTGGTGAAAGAAATCAGCAGCCTGAGACGTGATCTCCAGTTCAATGATTATCTCCAAGGTTTCATCGACTCAGTCATTTATTCCAAGGGCAGCAATCATCTGAATAAAGAGCAAAATCCTCTGGGTTCTGTGTATATCCCATATGTGTAGGTGTTTCAGAGAAGTTCAAACATATAAGGGAATCAGCAAAACATCAGGACAATTCTCAAAACTAAGCACACTCTTAGGAGTTCACTCATGAAAACCAGGCCGGAAAGAGTTCCACATGAGATGGCACAGGGCATCTACAGTATTCCCTGTGAATGTGGCAAAAGCTACGAGGAGCATTCCGTATATAATGCCTCCAATTTTTTTAATGAAAACTACAAAAGATACAGAAAGCATAATAACGCAGTTAAATAGAGCAAGATTTCAGCTACTTACAGTTATTTTCCACATAATCACCACCATTTGTTACGCACTTTTGCCAGCAATGAACAAGAGTCTGTATGCTGAGCCCATAAAAGTCTGTGCCAGCAGAGGCTAGCCACTTTCGTATAGCTGCAATGACAGCATCGTTGTCTGGAAAATGTTGCCCACGTAGTCCATCTTTCATAGACCCAAAGAGATGGAAGTCTGAAGGTGCTAAATCGGGGCCATAAGGTGGATGTGGTAGGACAGTCCAGCCAAACTTTGCAATGTGCGCGGTGGTCGCCAAACTGGTATGGGGTCTAGCGTTATCATGCTGCAAGTGAAAGGTTGTCTGCTTCTCTGGCCTGACTCGGGAAATGCGGGCTTTCAGCTTATTCGGCATCGTCTTGTAACGTTCAGAATTGATAGTCTCACCAGGCTCCAGGAAATCCAACAAAATCACACGCCGCCTATCCCAAAAGACCGCGCACATCACTTTCCCTGCCGAAGGCTGTCTTGAACTTTTTTCTTGGGGAATCCAGATGTCGCCACTCCATGGACTGTCTTTTGGATTCCAGCTCAAAGTGGTGACAACACGTCTCATATGCAGTGACGATGCTGTCAAGAAACTTGTCACCTTCAGCCTCAAATTGATGCAACAGGTCCTGACAGACTTCCATTCAGTGAGTTTTGTGGTCCTGTGTAAGAATCCACAGGACCCATGTGGAACAGACTTTGCGATAATCCAGCTTCCCAACATCGTTTTCAATGCATTACAGCCGATATTAAGCCGTGCACACAGTTCCCTGGTTGTTATCCGCCGATCTGTACAGATGAGCTGATCGAGGAGCTGTTCATTGTGAGAAGTGGCAACTGAGCTGGGACGCCCAGGGCATGGCTTGTAGTGCACTTCACTTTCACCACTGATGAAAAGCACTACCCACTGCCTCACTGTGCTGACATCCACTGTATCATCTCCGTACACCTTTAGGAAGCATCTATGGATGTCAATGGGTGCAATTTGTTCAGCAGTGAGAAATTCAATAACACACCTCTGTTTCGTGTGCACTTCTATGTCAGACGCCATTTTGGTAGACTGCTCTGCTGTCACCATCTGTCGCACAACAACCAAACTAACAGTAGATTGGCGGGAAGGTTTAACCTTTACTACAACACCACCAACATCCAGCTCAGATGTTACATATTAACACAAAAAAATAGGAGGCATTATATATGGAACGCCCTTCGTACATTGGCGAAACAAGCAGACCTCTAGTCATGCACCTCCATGAACACAGGCACAACCTCCAATAGCGTCTTCTAGAAAAATCAAAATTAGCCCAATATGCCTATGAAGAGCATCACAGAGTAGGCTAATGATGCTACAATTCTGGAAATTGAAATTAACAGCAGATATAGCACATACAAGGAATCAGCGCATATGGCATGCTTAACCAACCCAGTTGGCACATTTCTCCTATCTGGATTCCTCTCATCAGCAATGTGGTTTCTAACTCACAGAGAAGATCCGTATGACGTGACACATTCTTCATGGGTTTCCATAAGGTTTCAGTCTCGAGTGCTTGGGTTTTACTCCACAGATGGTGCTACCGGAAGATACGCCTTCACAAATTTTTTCCATTTCTTTGCACTGGTGCTCATGCACTTGGTTTTGTTGGCTAGGTTTGCAGCACAAATTTCTACCTCCTTTTCTATCCTAGTTCCACATGTGCTTGCTGTATCACAATTTTTATTGCATATTTTCTTGTTATGTCCCACCAAATTAGCCTGCTCTCAGGTGATTAAACAGCTGTGTGAACCTGACAGAGGTTGTCCAGTGATTGAGTTTCGCTCTTTCTAAGGGACCCCACTGAATAGGTGTCTCCCCCCCGCCATCTGAGGCCAGAAACAGATCCAGTTTCCAAAAAGTCATGTTTTCTAGTCTCTAGAATACCAGACAATGGAAAGAGTCCAAAAACCCAGTAATTCGGATTAGATTAGATGTTTAGTATTTATCTATAATTTAATTAACAAGGCTGCCAGTGGCTCAGGCTATATAGAATTGAATGATGGGTGATTTAATGAATACTGAATGGGAAAAGATGCGTTAGGAAACAGCATGGCATAGTTTTTGGTATTATCGTGGCATTTGCCTGGCAAAAGTATGACCACAGAAACCTCCGATACTGGAAATGGGAATCTCTGGAACACAGGCCTGAACCATGGCTGATTGAGCCAATTTTCTTTGGTTTTTCAATGACATTGTTTCAACCCCAAAAGTTATGAGACACCAAGCCACATGTGAAGCTAAGCATGAACCACAATCTTCTCAGCAGATACGGATATGAAATGAGCAAGCCATGGCCTATTTGAAGATATTATCCCAGCATTAACTAGACAGACTGGAAAAGAAGAAGAAAAAGAGAATAACATTCACAGCAGTGAAGTTTTAGATTATGGTCTTATGAGTTATATGTAGTATGGTTGGTAGATGTCGGTGTTTCAGAGTAACATACAGCCCTGCCGCTTGGAGTGCAGGAATAAGGATGCAGGCAGCAGATTCCTCCAGAATGTTCTAACACCTACCAGACTACACAGCATCATAACTGGAAGACCACAATCTACATGCAGTACAAAAATAAATCATATGACTGAGATGCTGGTATAGTTGTACTACTCTGCTCACTTCATACCTCAGCCAGTTTAATATCAAAACAGGCTATAACCTCCCAGGTTGAAACAGTGTCACTGAACAACCACTGAAAACAGAGGTGAAAACCAGGATCAAGCAGTAACGCTTCTGACATGCATACGCGTAGCATCTCTTTAAAATCTTGGACAATTCTGTGATTGTACTCTGCTATGCCAGGCAAATACCAGGATTGTAACTCAAATAAGGCCATACTGCTTCCTTCCACATCCTTCCCCATTCATTATTCATTAATCATCCATCATTCACTGCTATATAATCAGAGCTACTAAATTGATAAATAAATCATTAAGGTAAGAGGGTAAAGCTATCCCTGTAACAGGCCATGAAGGCCCATAGGTTTGTGAGACGTTCAGGCTCCCACATCTTCTAGACAGTCAGCTCACAGATGGTGGTCACTTTGTCGGACTTACGTGCCAGCTGCACCACCCCCCTTCCCAGGAAGATTCCTGGTACCATTTGTTAGAGGCAGTGTCTACCCCAGGGCCATAGTGCGGTTGGAAGAATTAGGTGATATATAAATCATAAATCAATAAAATGAAATAACAGAGACTAAATCATAACTGTACCTTAGGGGATGTAGGTGATGGCTTGTTTGCCATTCGGTGCAGAGGACTCACAGCTGCAGACTTCCCGACTGATCGCTGATCCTCCATCTCAATGCCTGCCTCTGGTTCTGGCAAGCCTTTCCTCATGTATGCAGCTTTGCGACTGCGGAGGATACGATGCTCAACTGTCTCAGGCATTGAGTGGTGGATATGACGATTGTGTGTATAAGTTGTATTACCACCGTATGATGTCACTGATGTGAAAACAAGATGTTTCAGTATGGTACTGGATGCAATACTGGGAACAGAAAGCTGGTACTCAGGAGAAAGCAAGAGCTGACTGTGAGATGCTGAGATACGATTGTGATATTTATCTTCAGACACTGAGACTGAACTGAGGCTTCCATCATACCACAATTTGCGACGATGGTGAATGAGAACATCAGACCTGTGGCATTTAACCAGATGCAGCAACCTATTGACAAAAAAATAAGAAAAATTACAGTCCACAAAAGAAACTGTATCACTTATTCATATTTTACTTATGGACATCATTCACAAATACTTATTGAAAATTATTAATTGTTCTCTCACAGCATAGTTGAGTGGCTGTAATGTGTTAATTTCAGAAACAAATACAAAACATGTCTCATTTACAAAACTAAACATCATGGTCACATGGGAAGCACCACTCATTCATACTTGGGATGTCTCATAATCAAACATCAGCCCAGACGCTCAGGACTTTCATAGTATTCTTTTAGCCTTTCAAGGCAATCACTAATCACTATAAAGTGGGCAATAAAAAAAGCCACTAAAGAAATGGATAAATAAATAAATATTTATAAACAATTCTTCAGTTCATGCAATTAGAATTAGAAACTTGTACTCATGAGAGTTTGTATGGCCAGATTTTTTGTATTTGGAACAATTTTAGTTACTATCACTTTGATAAAAACATAATACAAAAATGTATTAAATACAAGGGTTGGATAAAAAGTAGTGGCAACAGTGCTGTAACATGAAAGATGTGGGTCAGGTGGCACTAGCGCCATCTGTAGCTGATAGCAGAAGTTCAGTTGAAGTAGTGCAGTGAGTGGTTCTGGTTGTGTTTCATTGAGTTGCATTATGCATCGTCTTGAAGTGCAGGAGCCCAGTTCAAGCACCCTAACAACATGTTTATGAAACAAGAACAACGTTCCTGGATAAAAAATGAAGTTGCATGTGAAGTGCAGGAGCAAAACTGTTATCAGGGACTGCAAGAAGCATGTGGTGATGCTGCTTTGCCACATCACACAGTGGCACGATGGGTGAAATTATTCCGTGAAGGGAGGGATGCCATTCAGGACAGCCATCATTCAGGACGACCCCATGTTGACAATCACACAATTCAGCCTCTTGATTCTTTGCTGGATGTCGAACGTCAATGGGCTGCACAGGAGTTAGATGCTGAGGTACATGCATGTCACAAAACTGTGCTCCACATTCTGCACAGTATTCTTGGATATCGCAAAATTGCAGCTTGTTGGGTACCCCATACAATGTCCAAGGTGCAACAATGGCAACATTATGCAACTGCATAGGACTTGTTGGACTGGTACCAGAGGGAAGGAGACGACTTCCTTGGAAGGATCGTCACTCTGGATGAAACTTGGGCTCACTCATACGAACCACACTTGAAGCGACAGTCAAATGAATGGAAGCATCCTGGCTCTCCTGATCCAAAGAAAGTGCGCCCTACACAGAGTAATGTGAAGGCGATGTTCATTGTGGCATGACACTGATGGAGTGATACCGCACCACACAGTACCTCAACGACAGACAGTAAACGCTGCCTACTACTGCAATTTAATGCGTAATCATCTTCGTCCAGCACTCAGGAGAAAAAGACGACACTTGTTGTCAACGAACCCCATCATCCTTCATGACAATGCAAGGGCTCATAATGCTGATGCTGTCAAGGATCTCCTTTGCCACTGGCAATGGGAGATACTGCAACATCTGCCATACTCACCCGATATGAGTCTGTGTGATTATGAGCTCTTTGCAAAAATGAAAGAACCACTGCGAGGGACACGTTACAACACAAGAGAGGAGATTATTCATGCTGTAGGATGGTCACTGCTGGACATCAACAGAAGTGGACATGCTGTTAGTGTACAATGCCTTCCACAAATCTGGCAGAAGGCGGTACACATGGGGGGCGATTATGTTGAAGGAATATAAGTGTGTTTACCTCAGGTAATAAAGTCATTTCAGAACTATACAGGTGTTGCCACTACTTTTTATCCGACCTTTGTATAACATAAATGTAATTGTTATTATTTTACCTGAACCCCCACTCCTAAATTCACTGTTCTGCAAATAAGATTTATCACTACTGTTCTAATTCATGACTGGCCAACATTAGCCATTCATTATCATAACAATCTATACATCTAAAATCCATTTGAGTATACAGTTACACCCACAATTTGATCTCCTCTTTCCCCTACAAAATTATGTTTGCATTTCTTGGTTCCCCAGTCATTACCACACATCCAAACTGCAATACTTATACAGATTTAATTATTTGTACTCACACGTAAATGAGTCCACCCAAAACAACATGATGTAATTCAGCTGGAGAGAGATCACAGAACCTTGTGAAGGAAAAACAGCTGTGTGAGGTTGCGACACTTCCTAAAACAAAAGAAAACAAATATAAATTATAACAAGAATAAATTCAGGCAGCTCTTGCTGTTTGCTTCCATGCCTGTCACCTTCCTTCAAATGAAGGAGGTATCAATGACATCATCAGTAGCTAGACCATACAGTGCTGAATGGTGGGATGACAGAGGAATTAAAAAGTATTTGGAACAAAGTGGTTGTGACCTGACACAATATTCCAGAATTCTCCTGGAAGGGATACCTATTATCATCCCATCTAACTTTCTAAAACACTACAAAATTAACATGTATAAAAACAATCACTGAGATAGCTCAGTCAGTATAGCAATGGGCTACAAGCTGGATGGCTTGGGTTTGATTCCTGACAGAGGAAAGAGATTTTTCTCTTCTCCACAGTGTCCAGACTGGCTCTGGGGCCTACCCAGCACCCTATCCAATGCATACTCTTTCCCTCGAGGTTAAAACAGCTGAGGAATGAAGCTGACCACTAACATCCACATAGTGTCAACATTAAGAGCTGCAGAGTTATACCTCTACTCCTCCATACATCTTCAATGGATGATGTTTAATAATTTAAGCACAGGGAAAATTTTGCCTTTTTATTTTACTAAACATACATGCAGTATGGTGATCTTACAAATCAATTTTCTTTCCTTAAGAAAGTGAATAAATCAATCAGACTAGGTTACAGGAGGACTGTGGTTTAATTTCCAGCAGGGGCAGAGAATTTTCTCTTCATCACTGCACTCAAAGCAGCTCTGGTGCCCATCCAGGCCATCAAATGGGTAGTAGGAGCTCTTTCCTGGTTTAGAGTAGGCAGGGCATGAGGATGACCACCCTAGTGCTGAGGCTAAGACTGCATTGCACTATGCCTGCATTTCCCCACACACCTTCATGGTGCGGTGCTTAACTAAGCAAATTGACAATTTTACCTTAACTACTGTAAAGTATGCTGACATGACAACTGCGCACATGCAACAGTATACACACCTTCATTGTGTTGTGACGGAAAGAGAGATCTGTGAATATGCTGCACAGCAAAGATACTGAGATGATTATATAACAAATGATCTTTGCTGGGCATCACCAGATGTAGAAGTCCATCATCAAACAGCAACTTAGGAAGTATGTACTCCGGGCAGCGGATAAAGAGGGGTGATTTGGCTTCTCGACGCTCAAACAGTTCAGGATGATTGCAGACCTTGAAGAAAAAATAACATTAATTCTTTTATATACAACAAAGTGACCGCCTCTGTGGGCTACTGGTCAGAGTTCCTGCCTACAGATCCAGAGGTCTGGGTTCGATTCCCGGCGCTACCAGATTTTCTGAGAAGTGGGTCTGGAATGGGGTCCACTCAGCCTCGTGAGGATAATTAAGGAGTTACTTCAAAGAAATAGCAGCTCCGGTCTAGAAAACCGAAATTAATGGCCATGGGGATTCGTTGTGCTGACCACGCAACACCCTCTAGCTGCTAAAATTGGCACTAACTTCGCCAACAAGCAGCGGTCATTCGGTCATTATAGTTCGCTTGTGGCCTCAAGCCATGAAGGTCATAAATAACAAAGCAATGGGTCTCAACCCTTTGGATTTTCAATCACGCTAATCATACCATCAATAAACTGTAGTTCCACCACAGTAAAACACAGCTTTCCTTTTCCAAAGAAGAATATTTTTATAACTAAGCACATTTACTAATACATTTCTACATTACATTACATTGCATTGCATTCCATGGATCCAAAGTTAGTCAAAATGACTGTAGGATGTGGAATATGTCATACAATCATTAATGGCATTCTTACTTTCAAAGTCTCATGCCCCACCTAAGTGACTGGCAAGTCTCATCAGCTGGACATATCCAGCTAATTAAAAAATCTTCAAGGAATGTATCTTGTTGTTATTCTATAAAATTACTTTTAAACTGTTCCTGTCCCAACACAACAACTATCAAGAACTCATTCACACTTCACCGTGCAATAATGAGTTTATTGGTCTTATGATATTACATCACGCTACATGTTTCAGCTCCTAAAGCCATCATGATACCATATATAGAGCACAATTCAGTAGTTTAAAAATTTTCATTAAATTGTACTGCCTGATGATGGCTTTAGGAGCCAAAACATGTAGTGCAATGTAATATAAGCCCTTCATTATTGCATGGTGAAGAGTGAATGAGTTTTTGACAGTTGTGGTGTTGAAACAGGAACAACGTAAAAGTAATTTTAATTTAGAAACACTGTAACTGAGCACACATTTCTGCTCACTTTTCCTTATGGTGGGATAAGACCACATCCCTTAATACTTAGAGTACAAATAATACATTGTACAGAGACCCAGATCACAGATGACAGGCATGAAGCATTTTGTAGAATGAGAATTGGCTGGGGCAACCTAAGTATTCAGGGAAAGCCTGCCCTAGTGCCTCTTTACCCATCACAAATCCCACACAAACTAACTGAAAGTGAACTCAAGCCACCCTGATGAGAAACTGGTGATTCACTGCCTGCTATGGCAAAGTGATTCTCTCTTGTTTAAAAAGGGAAAGAATTAGTTTTGGTCTTGTTCTGGGGTGGTGATGCCATGTGAAAGTTGGTTACATTGCTAATATTTCAGAGATCCGTGGTGTCTCCATCTTTGAAGCAAAATGAGTACACCATTACCCTTGCTGCTGGAAGATGGAAAGAGCTTGTTCTCCAAACTGTTGGCAACAGAGCCCACTTATAGATTTGCGAAGGTCATTTGTTCCATGAAAACTGATTGTAAAGTGAGAATTTGTAAACTAAAGATTAAATTTCCACATATTTTACACATAAAAGTCACTTAACTTATCAACATTAAGTTCCGTGTTGTAACAAAAATGAAGTTTGTTAAGCGAAAAATATGTACAAATTAACATGCTCTGTTGTAGCCAAATTCATGAACTGAGAGATACCAGTACATGATATCACAAACAAAAACAGGACCAAAATTAGTATCAAAGTGCTGTGAAAGCCTGAAATCCTATGCATGAGAGATTATTAGATCTCGCTTAAATACTAAGCACACATCCGCCAAATTACAATACTTACTTTACGGAACTGCATGACGAGATTCATCAAACTGGACGTTACACTCTGTGAAGTCTGATTTGAGCCACTGTATGAGTACAACAGATCTTCAATACGAATTTTCTTTTTGAGAGCTAAAACAGAACATGGCAATATTAATTCAATTCTTTGCTCAATCTCAATCTTCAGGTGCTCCTCAAAAACCACCAATTAATTTCAAAATTTCTACCTGCTCACATGTTTACCAGTAAGAGCATCCAACTACTTGTATAAATTTATTCAAACTTAGAATAGCAGACCCAATAAATGTTGTCCAGCCATTTTGATTTTGGTTCAGATCAATGAACTTTAACGACCACATCACTTATAGCCTAAATAAACATCCATATATGATATATGAGAAAAAGAGTAGATATTTTACACAGATATGAGAGGAGTGGGAGTAGAGAAATGGAAGAGGCTTTGTCATATGATACATCCAGGTAGAAACATCCATCAATGGATGGTGGCGGCGACAACAATTGTTATGCTTTCCATGAAAATCCTTGGTCAAGTCAGTTCTAGTCTCAGGTCAACGATCTGAAGTGAGACATGAGTACACAAGAAGTAGGATGTCCACTGTACATACCTGAGTAGAGAAGTTTCTGTCGAGTTGTAAGTGGACAATACACCATAACCTCAATCTTGTCAGAAAGCTCATTTTCAACATCCTTCTTTATTCTCCGCAACATGAACGGCTTCAGTATCATGTGAAGCCGAGATAAATGCTCTGAAACAGGGAAACACATACAATACATCTCACTAACAGCTATTAATTCAACATTATCACCACACTCCTCTTTTCCCACAAACATTTTGTTACCTTCCCTTATATTAATATGCAGCTGCGCATTATTTTGAATGGTGATAAATACAACAAAAGGGTGGAACCTTTGAAATAAACAGTTCCCATCATTAGCTAAACTTTGCACAGATAACTCCTCCACTGGATGTGAGGCTCTAACAACAGTGACTCTTTCAGGATATGGTGCTGTGTAGTCAAACAGAAGTTCAGTGACGTTTTGGAGGAACATACTGCTTTCATGTTCAGGGCAGAAGAGAAAGCCAAGCAAGCTACCAGCAAGAAGCAAGAGTGATCATGTCACTCACAACTTACAGGTTGCTTGGTTGGGCTATTCTCTAACGCTGTGGGTGCGCTACATTCCTCTGAAATGTTGATGAACCTCTACGAGGCTACACAGCATCACAGCCCAAAGGACAGTATTCATGAAGAAATCCACTGATTTACACTTACACATTACATCACGATTTTGCTTACTGCACATGCTGTCAACAATTGAAATTTGTTTTCAGCAAATACTGAGGCTGTAATGACAACTGAAGAACATTGTGACAGATTTGCTCACAGCATTAAGCTATGGAGCCGGAAAATCCCATTGCTAGGTAAACACATTCCTAACACAGTCAACTGTAGAGCTTCGGTTGCTTAGTATCGAATGTTTCAATAAAAAACGTTTTCAGGATGATGGAATAATGAACTGCTAAACAACAGATTATTAAGACAAGTTCTCGTGACAATGAATCATTTCACATTAATTTCCATGGATACCAGCTAGCCTATATAAGGAGCCCTGGAGACTCCTCATTCATTCATTCACGAGACAGACATCGTTGAAGGCAGTCAGAAAGTCTTTTGTAACCAGATAAAATTCTTTACCAAGTAACGACTAGTAAGCAGACACTGAAGACTTTATTTTATGTGTTACAGTTATAGTAGTCTTTTTTTTTTTAATTCGCTTAGTGGGAGGTGGAGTCCAACTGGGTCCACTCGGCACGGTGGTCACTGATTGGTCTTTTGTAGCCTGCCCCAGGTGATTATGACGATGGAGAATTTGGTGGAATGAAGATTGGCAGGGGAAACCGAAGTACTCGGAGAAAACCCGACCCAGTGCCACTTTGTCCACCACAAATCCCACTTGAGCAGACATGTAATCGAAACCAGGCCGCCACAGTGGGAAACCAGCGACTAACTGCTTGAGCCATGGTGCGGCCTTACAGTAGTCTTTACAGAGAGTTATAATTATTTGTAGATATGACTTGTGAATGCCCAATAAATCTATTCATCTAATCCATGACCCACTATTACTCGTCATGCAAACACAATACATGTGATGATAGGAATCTCTCACTGCTGCCTCTTGGTGCTATGCGCAAACACCAATAAATCTGCTCATACATGATAGAATGGCAACGTTCAGGCATTTCTATGTAGATAATTGAATAAGAGTGCCCCATATTTACTTTCATCAATGCCAGTTTTGTTTTCTGCATGACTCTCAATGTCCTTGGAGAACCACTCGTTGAACTCATCATGTGAATCAAAGAGAGTGGGCATGATGAAATGAAGCAAGGCCCAGAGTTCAGCCATGCTGTTCTGAATGGGCGTCCCACTCAGCAGTAACCTGTTCCGACAACTGAATCCCAAGAGAAGCTTCCAACGAACGCTAAAACACAGAGCATAACATTACATCATCACAAGTTTTGAGATTTCCATGCCAAAATCTTCTAGATCTTTCCTCAAATGTTTGATCACTTCACAGCTTACACACCTATAACAATGATTACTATTTATAATTTGAGCACACGAATCATGGGAATGTCTCAAATTCAAATTATTTTCTTCCCGATATTGCTCACATTCAACTATCGTGTCCGCCATATTGTACCACGATGCATGAAAGGCAGAATAGCAGAGCCAGAAGTAATGACCATTGCTATGCAACAGCCTCGTAAACATGCTCCTGCACTCCCACAGCAGTGGATAAACATGCAACGGTAGAAGAACTACAGGAAGTAGTGTTTTCCATACAGTCCACACCAAGGCTATGTAACAGGAACCAACAGGACAAGCCAGTCAATTGCAAGTCAGCAGTTGGCTGTTAACAAGTAGTTGTGAGTGAGCAGTCACAGTCAGTAGTTGGCTCTGAGCACAGAAGCATAGGAATCTCCACTGTTAGAAGCCTCCACCAAGCAACGACCAGCAAAAACATAAGAGACTATGAAGACTTTTGTGTATGCTATAGTGATCTTAAAACTGCATAAATTAGTGAGTTATAGTTAATTGTAGTTATGAGTCATAAGCATTCAGTCCAAACCTCATGTCTAGTAACTAACATGTGGCAATATCGAGTAACAAGATGGCGAGAGATTGAAAAGGAAAAACTGTCAATAGAGACAGGAAACTTTTTGTACACTTACTTGCATAAAACAGAAACAACACAAGAAGAATACTTGCAGACATAAATACATGCCAGATCTCACAAGGAAGCAGGATGGGGGGTAAAGAAAGATCAAAGTCAATGCATTACCTGTTGGTGCTCTTGAGGGCCTGGGCTTCATCCAGAATCAAATATTGCCACTTGATACGATTGAAATACTTGAAGTCTGTGATAACAAGTTGGTAACTTGTGATCACAACATGAAAACTTGCTTCCTTTGTGTGCAAGTCCTTTTGGTCCCAGAATTGACGCAGGATTTTGCGTTCCTGTTGGTTATAACAATAGTGAGGATCAGATATGATGGTAAAATATAAATTTCACATATACAGTACAGAGAATTTGATCTGGGCAAAAATGTGTCAGCTGTTAATTCATACAAATGTTTTTTTGTTTGTAAGATTTGAGGCTTTCACGGCGGTGACTATGAAGAAAGCAGTCTTCTGGGATTTGGCACCGTGTATATGTGGTGTTAACCGACGTTTCGGAGGAACGTATCGCCTCCATCTTCAGGGTAGAAGATTGTTTCTTGGTTTGTCGTTAATGCCTCACAAATTGGGTAGTTACGCGGTGCTGAATGATATAAATATTATGAATCATCATGGATCAAAAAACAACTCATCTCCTTGTCTGTGATGAGTCTGAAATCAAAGATGATAAGTGGAAAAATCTTTTAATTTATTATCTAATATCACTCTGCTTTCTCAGTTTATTTCTGCACAGGTGCCAAATGATAAAACAGAGCAGTAAATTAAATTGTGTATACATATTAATTGGTGGACACGCAGTACCATAGTTGGTTAAGGCACTATGCTACATGCCAGAAGGAAGTGGGTTCGTTTCCCAATGAGGTCACTGCATTCTTCAATTGATCTAATCCCTCCAGGTGCACTATGGCCTGGTGTCAACTCAGCCTCTAACAGAAATGAGTACCAGGAATCTTCCTGGGGGTAAAGGGCGATCTGCATGTAAGGATGAGAACCTCACCACCATCTGTGAGCCAGCTGTCTAAGAAATGTGGAAGCCTCAACTTCTCACAACCCTATTGGCCTCCAAAGACTATTACAGGGATAGTTTTACCCTTTTTTTAATAAATACTAATTAGTATAATTTTATGATCTGTATGTTACATGCCAGTAAGCAGGATGGTGCAAAGTGATTATGTAACCGTTCATTTGATTGGAGAACTGTTGTGCATAAATTAAACATGTATTAGATTAAGATTACTAAATTACAAACAAAGAGATCCGGCAGATAGCTAGCTCTTACACGCGGAAGGGACATAGTTCAAGTTTTGCTATGTGAACAGGAAGTAACATCTGGTACTTTCCTGGAATTCTGGCAGTTTCAGCAACGTCGGAAAGGCTTTGAGAAAATGAGAGCTGACAGCTTGGGACAGCGATAACTTAGAAGTGGGACGGCCGGAGCCTCACACCCTGACTGTAATGCATCAAGGGGCTGTCATCCTTAGCGTCAGGTCAGCATCTGCCAGAATCACATAGCAGAGC